CAAGGCTCCTACCCTCCCTCAGGCCCAGGGGTGACCCCAGAGGGGCAGAGGTGGGGTACAACACCAGGCAAGAAGGCATGAGGAGAGGCAGGTGTTGAAGGTCCATGCCTGTAAGCCCAACACTTGTTAAAGTTCAGCCTGCGTTACACGGTGAGCCCCGGGGCTGCCTGGTCTCCACAACATGGCCTTGTCTCAGAAAAACAACCGTGATGGCAACAGAAAACAGGACTGGCAGAGGCAGGGGGATCTCTGTGAGTTCGAGACCAGCCTGGTCTACAGAGCGAGTTCCAGGACAGCCTCCAAAAGCCACAGAGAAACCCTGTCTCGAAAAACCAAGAAAAAGAAAGAAAGAAAAGAAAAGAAAACAGGGCTGGAGAGATGGTTCAGCCGACACAGTGCTTGCTTACATGAGGACCCACGCTCAAGCCGCAGCACCCATGTACAAAAACTGGGTGTGATGGGGTTCAGCTGTAACCCCAGTGTGGGAAGGTGGAGACAGGAGGGTCCCGGGGCTCATTAGCCTGCCAGCCTGGCTTAAATGCCAAACCAGAGAGCGACCCTGCTTCAAAAGACAAGGAGGGAGACTGAAGAGACGGCTCAGCAGTAAAGACCACGCCCTGTTCTTGCAGAAGACTCGGGTTCAGTTCCCAGAAGGCTCACAACCACCTGTAAATCCAGTTCAGAGGATCTGATGCCCTCTTGTGGCCCCTGTGGGCACCTGCATGCATGTGGGGCACATAAACTCATGGAGCAGCACACACGCACAAAACATGTACACACACACACACCTATGAACTATCACAAGGAAAAAAGAAAACAAGGTTGAGGAACAACATTAGAGGTTGACCTTTGACCACACACACACACACACACACACACACACACACACACGCACGCACGCACGCACGCACGCACGCACGCATGCACACCCATGCATACCCGCACACACAAATGAGGCTCCATACACATGAACACAGGCAGGATTTACCCAACCTGAGCTCCTGGCACCCTGCCACAGTGAGCACCAGTATTGAAGCATACGCAGTAAAACCAGATGGCTGTGTTCACACTCCTCGAAGGTACCCTGGCTCTGCCCTCCTCCACCCCCCATCCCAAGATGCTGTGAGCCAGCAGCATCAGCCAGCATTTCCTTCTGCTTTCCATCCAAAAGTTTCTCCCGCAGGAGGGTCACGCCCAGCCCAGCAGGCTCCAATAGCTATAAAATGTATGTCCTTCCAGGAAGGAAACAGGAAACAATCTTCCGCGGGCAGAGGATGAAGGGGCCCTGTGCTATCAAGCACTCAAGCGGGATTTTGAAACAGGTCAACGTCAACAACCCGGAACTGTGACTCAGGGCGGCAACGGCAAAGTGCAGGACTAAAAGCAATAGGTTATAAAAGGTGTGTGTATAACACACACACACACACACACACACACGCGCGCGCACACATACACGCGCGCACACGCACACATGCACACACACGCACACACACACGCGTGCGCACACATACACGCGCGTACACGCACACACGCACACACACATACGCACACACACGCGCACACACACACGCACACACACATACGCACACACACGTGCCCACACACGCACACCATAATGTATGTGTTTTTATTTTTTCCCCCTTGAGACAGGATCTTGTCTCTAGTTCACTATGAGGCTGAGGATAGTCTTGAACTTTCCATCCTCCTGCCTTTGTCTCTTCAATGCTAGCATTACTGGCATGCACCACCATCCCCAATTTATTCAGAGTTAGGGGTGGGGCCAGGGCCATTCATGCTGGGCAAGCACACTGCCCACTGAGCTACACCCCCAGTTCCCTAAAGTGAATGAACACACACACACACACACACACACACACACACACACACACGTTTCTTTGATTTTAAGATAGGGGTCTTATGTAGCCCTGTCTGGCCTGCAACTGAATATGGAGAAGAAAAGGCTGGCTTAAAACTCACAGGTCTCCACCTGCCTCCTGAGTGCCAGGATTACATGTGCATGCCACCTTGCCTGGTTCTTTGCTTCTGTGTGCTATTGCTGAGGGCTGGAGGGGTCACTAGGTAGTTTAGAGCACTTGCTCCAGCCAGGCAGTGGTGGTGCACTCAGGAGTAAGAGGCAGGCGGATCTCTGTGAGTTCGAGGCCAGCCTGGTCTACAGAGCGAGGTCCAGGACAGCCTCCAAAGCCACACAGAGAAACCCTGTCTTGAAAAACTGAAGGGGGAAAACAAAGAGAAAGAAAAGGGCACAGGCTGCTTTCCTAAAGGACCCAAGTTTGAGATCCCTCATAAGGCAACTCCCACTGCCTGTAATTTCAGGGCAGGTGGGAGAGCACACGCAACTTTAAACAAAACAAATCTCTAAGCCTTTCCCCATTCTCCAACCTCAGAGAAACAGTTCACCCCATTCCCTTTCTCCACGGCCTTCACACAGTCGCTCACAACCTTGCCATGCTTTCTGCTTCTGTCCTAAACTGCTGGGATCGACGTCACCAGGGGTCACCTGAAGAACAGAGACCCCTGCCCACCCATGTGTCCTTTTGCTAAGTGTCAGCTCCCTCAGGGTCGCCCGCCAGCCCTCCTCTCTCCTCAGCTCCCTCCGCTCACCCTTCCCACCTCCTAGGAAAGGTGTTCTCTGGGGCCACACCACTGTGTCCGCTTTCGCCATGACCTGTCCCCGGGGTTCACTATCGCCCACAGAGATGGCTCTGGCGGCCTACACGCACTCTCCCCTCTCCTGTGCTTCAAAGGCTCTGTAAGGAGGCGAGGAGCCCAGGTGGAGTTCATCATCTGTCCCTCCGGGTCTGTCCCTCCACCGTGGGTTCCTGAGTTGGAAGCCCCATCACCCGTACAAACCTCCCTCGGCCACCATGTCCAAACAGACGCAACCCCCGTCAGTGCTGCCTGAGGGGTCTCAGATCTGCCCTCCGTGTCCCACACTATTGTAGCTCAAAGTCGGGGTCCGGTCCTCGACCCTGCTGCTTCTCCCCGGGGTGCTCCCTGCTCCTTTCTCATAGCTGCTGGCCACGTCCCCCAAATTTGACAGACGGTATCCAACACCTTGCTTAAAACCTTCATAGTTGGCGGGCTGGGGATGCGGCTCAGTTGGTAGAGCACTTGCCTAGCATGACAAAAGCCCCGAGTTCAATTCCCGGCACCGATGCCTGGGATCTGAGCACTTGGGAATTGGAGGCAGGCAGGAGGATCACAAGTTCAAGGTCATCCCTGGCTACATAGGCAGTGCGGGGCCAGCCTGTGACTCATGAGAGATCCCTTCTAAACACAAGACACCAAGACACGCCCACAGCCCCCGTGGCACTGAGGTAGGGGGAGAAGCAGCTCGATGGAGGCTGCCTTGGGCTGCTGCTCACCCTGAGTTCTCAGGGCCGTCCAAACAGCTCATCCAGGCCCAGGCACGTGCAGGCCAAACCTGACACTTTGCAACCAAATGTCCTGCTTGCTTAGAACAGCCAGACTTCATCAGCCAGGTAGTTCAGGCCCACCTGAGCCTCACTCCCACTCCCACACCTGGCCCCCAGGAAGTGGGGAGGGGGCCAGTGGACCGGCAGTCCTCTTCATAGTGCCAAGGCCAGGTAACGAGTGTACAGAGCTCTGGAGAGCTAGGCACGCCACACCCTTCCGCCCAGAGCTGGGATCCCTCTCCAGAGAGGACCCCAGTGTAACAGCACAGAGGCAGGAGATGCCCTTCCCACCCTCCCCCAAAATATTCCCAAGCTTCCACTAAGATCTGACAATACCCCAAACCCAGCGTAGCCCGACTCACAAATCGTGGAAGTTTCGAAGGGAAGAGGCGGGTGTGAAGACATCCAAGAGCCCGATGACCTGGGGAGAGGGTCACCAGTGAGGCTGGACAGCCACCACCCCTCCTCATACTCCCCGGGCCTTCAGCCACCCAGGGCCACCTGGTCACCGTCTGCTACAGAAGGAACAGTATGGGGGCCCAGGCAGGGCAGAAAAGGGAGTTTGCCATAGCGATGATGGAGAGTCAGGCTGAGAACATGGTCAGCCCGTTGCTCCCAAATTTTGGGGCGCGGGGTGAACAAACCCACTCCCAACTAACAAATCACGGGGGTCAGTGGGGAGAAGAGAAAGGGAGGACGGAAGGCCTTGGGACCTTGGACCTCAGTTCCGGGACTGAGGGTCTCTGGGTCTCCAGCTGTCTGTCTTTGTGGGCCCTGGGGCTGGTTCAGAGGCAGGGGAGAGCCTTCCCCTCCCTTCATAGCTGGAGGCCACCGGGGAGAGGCTGCCTGACAGAGTTCAGTGCTCAGGATATACAAGGCTCTGAAATCACTCTTGGGCATGGACTCCAGCTCTTCTGCCTAGTCCAGAGCTGGGCCACTGGCTGTGTCCATCAGACAGGATGGCCAAATGGCTGCTGATGAGCCGCATAACTGTGCCTCAGTCTCCCCATCTGTGCCATGGATGGTATGTGTTGTGGGTTATTATAAGCTAGCCAGCATTTGCATAAAACATGCCTGGCATGCATTATATTCCGTATTTGTTGTCAGTCTTGGGGTCCCGATATGGGCACGGCAGAAGGTGGGGTCTCCAGGCCCAGCGCGACCCAGGGTTCTCACAAAAACAATTACAAAGTCTCCCGGTGCCTACTTCCTCCTCACAAGCGAGATACGGTAGTGCTTTTTCTGGGAAGTGAGCAGGGCAGGCCCTGGCACCTCCTCCTAGAGCTAAGGAACTGAGGAGCCAGGGAGGAGCGAGGGAGAGTCTTTCTCCTGGCCCTGCACCCAGGACCCCGGGCAGGCCACTCCTGGGCCGCTCTCCCTGCCTCCCCACCCCCACCCCCATCCCCAACACAGCCACGCCCCTGCCGCATCCTACGTTTTCATGGTTCATGTGCTTCAGAAGAAGGAGCTCGCGGTAAGCGCGCTTGGCAAAGATCTCGGACTGGAAGGGCCGACTCAGCTTCTTGATGGCCACCTTCTCCCCTGTCCGCTTGTCGATGGCCGAGCTGCGGGGGTCACAGGCAGGTGAGGGGGAGGGGCGGCCCCTGTCCTAGGCCATCCCCACTGAGTATTCCCCAAGCTGGCTGGTGACCAGGAATTTAGGGGCCAGCAGAAAGGGGTGTGTGTTTGTGTGTGTGTCTGTGTGTGTGGTGTGTTTGTGTGTGTGTGTGTCTGTCTGTCTGTCTGTGTGTGTCTGTGTCGCAGGTGGGGGGAGGGGACACCGAGGAAGGGGCACCAGGGCAGGAACCAGTCACGCCGCCGACAGGATGCGGAGCAGGCCGGGAGTCCCTACTCTGCGATTGGGCAAGTTCCCCTCGTGGGGCCTCATCTGCAACTGCAGGGAATCTGTCCCACGAACTCCGAGGCCCCTTTGAAAAGTTACAGCCTTGGAGAACCAGATTCGGCAGCGACTCGACCCACTGGGGCCCCAGTGCCGCCGGGTGAGCCCGGGGAGGCTGCCAAGGGGTGGCCCGCGCGGCTCCTCTGCCTCCCGGGGTCCCCGGGTCTCACCACACAGCTCCGTAGGCCCCGCTGCCGACGTGCGCCGGCGCCAGGTAGGTCTTGGGCAGCTCCCAGGCCGTCTTGTTGATGTCCTGCTTGTAGAAACCCCTTTTCCGGATGAGGCTCATCCCGCACCCCGTGGTGGCGGCCCTGCGCGGCGGCTGCGGTGGCTGCCCGCGGGCTCCGGGCCCGGGTGTCCAGCCGCGGTCCCCTCCCGCCCCGCGCCCGCTCCTCCCCCGTGGGGCGGCGCACCTGCCGCCTCGCCCAGGTGCGTCCCCGCCCCGGCTCGCCCCGCCGCCCGCGCTCCGGGCTCCGCCCATCCCCAGCCGAGGCCCCAGGCCCGGCCAGCCACCTGCTGCAGGTGCGGGGGGCGGGGGTGCTCTGCGGGAAGGGGTGCCCGCGGGGCTGCCAGGATTCCTCCAGCCCCGCAGGAAGACCTGGGGTGGGCGGCGGGGTTGGTAGTTTGAGAAATGAAACCCCACAGATGCAAGGCACGGTGGCTCAGGTCTGTAGGGGAGGCAGAGGCAGGAGGGATACTGTGAGTTCGAGTCCAGTTCATTCAGTATGGAGTGAGTTCAAGGCCAGACTGGGTGAGACCCTGAGGAGGGAGAGAAGGAAGGGAGATAAGGCGTGGGGGAGAGAATAAAGGTGGAAGGGAGGGAAACAAGGTCATCCTTGGCTACAATGCGAGTTGGAGGCCAGCATGGGCTACATAAAAAGACCCTGACACAAGGCAGCCTTGAAGATGGAGAGTTTAAGAGCCTGTAACTGAGTTCATCCCTCAGCACCTATGTCATTCTATAGATAGTTAAAAATAAAGAAAAAAAGGGTGTGGTGGCACACATCTTTAATCCCAAGAAGGCCTGTCTGGAAAAATCAAAGGGAAGGAGGGGGAAGACACAAATACAACAAGAACCAGGGACCTAAAACTCATGGACTATAAGCGAATTCCTTCCATCCCTCCTCCCTCCCTCTCTCTTCTGTGTACCTCTGGCTGTCCTGGAACTCACTCTGTAGACCAGGCTGGCCTCGAACTCAACAGAGATCCGCCACCACCACCTGGCCCGAAACAAATTTAATTTAAAAAAAAAGAAATCAACCGGGCGTTGGTAATGCACCCCTTTAATCCCAGCACTCGGGAGGCAGAGGCAGGCGGATCTCTGTGAGTTTGAGGCCAGCCTGGTCTACAGAGCGAGTTCCAGGACAGCCTCCAAAACAATACAGAGAAACCCTGTCTCGAAAAATTTAAAAAAATTAGATTTGTTTCCCCTCTCTCCTCTCATCCCCTTCCCTCCCCCTGCCTGCCTTCTAACCCCCCATTTACTTTCTTTTTAAGAAAAATAATTTAAGACTCCCAGGCCCTCAGGTTCATCTTTGACCAGTGCTCAGAAATCTTCCCTTCTCCCCCATTTTTCTGAAACAAAGTCCAGGCATCAAATTGTTCTTCCCACAGAAGGTCTGGGGTCTTACACCCAGGGTCAACAGCAGCTGATTCCACCATCCCCAGGATGGTTGTTTGGCATTGGTGGTGGTGGTTTTTGAGACAGGGTGTCACTATGTAGCCCTTAGCTGGCCAAGAACTTTCTATGTAGACCAGACTGGTGTCTAACTCCAAGACGTTCCCCGCCTTCACCTTCAGAGTAGATGTCCAATTCTGAGTAGAGGTTTTTCTCTTGTTTTCTAAGCCCGCATGAATGACACGGTCCTGTGTGGTCCCAGAGCGAACTTGTGCTCAGTCTGAGTCATGAGTGCTCTGGCAGAACAGCTCGGAATGCCCCGTGGATGTGTCCCACCCTCCCTGACTTCTCTGCAGAACGAGTGGGGCCAGCTTGCTTCGTTGTCAGAGGAGGGAGCTTCCGGGGGACCCCACCAGGCTCTCCGCAGACCCCAAACTGCCCAACCGCCTCTCCCACACGGTCTGCAGATCATGTCAAGTGAACAACCCCACAGAAACGTTCAGCACGGGTTGTAGGTAGGGCGTCTGCTTCAGGAACGTATCACAGCTCGGATGAGAATGAGAGAGTCAGCCCATTGGGTGTGAAAAAAATTATCTAATAAACATACGTGCCTGACATGTGCCGGCCATTAGTGTTTTACATATTCCACTCCAGGGCAGAAGACTGTGAGTCAGGCTGGGCATCCTCACCAGAGAAGTGGCAAACAGGCGTAGAGGGGTTAGGTAATTAGCTGAAAGGTCACAGGGCTGGAGAAGGGCGGAGCTGGGTGAGGAAGGGAGCGTGGTGGCCCTGGAGCCCAGGCTCCTGCCAGGAAGGCTCAGTGGTGTCTCCAAACCACTTGGAATGGTTGTAAGGCTGCCGCTTCCTCAGCGCAGCCCGTTTCCTGCCCTGTCCTTTTCATTGGTCCTGAGACAAAGGAGGGCCGACAGTGGGAGTTTGAGACCCTTTGGGTCTGTGGTTCTGGTTTAAGGAACTGTGTTTCAGGAAGCCAGATGCTAGGACCGGACACAGGCTACGAGAGGGTGTCCCGAGACACCTTCGGGGTTGAGAGAAGAGAAAGGGGCTCGGTCTCTACAGTATGATAAAGCCAGCAAGGTAAGGAATCCCAGGAAAGCCTTCCAGGCCCAGGAGCATCCGCCCCCTAGCACAGCCGGCCACTCTGAACTCCGCCCCCTAGCACAGCCGGCCGCTCTGAACTCCGCCCCCTAACACAGCCGGCCACTCTGAGCTCCGCCCCCTAGCACAGCCGGCCGCTCTGAACTCCGCCCCCTGGCACAGCCGGCCACTCTGAAACTCTCTGAACTCCGCCCCCTAGCACAGCTGGCCACTCTGAAACTCTCTGAACTCCGCCCCCTAGCACAGCTGGCCACTCTGAAACTCTCTGAACTCCGCCCCCTGGCACAGCCGGCCACCCTGAACTCCGCCCCCTAGCACAGCCGGCCACTCTGACTCCACTTGAGCAAGGGTCAGGAAGTGACTCAGGCCTTACACGCAGCTGACGATAGCCCTCACCTTGGGCCTTGCTGGGCTGGGGTTTACTCAGCAGCCTGGCAGTCTTGGAGGGAACTGCCTTCAATCCAGTGAGGGGAGTCACTGAGGGCAGGAGGGGAAGTGATGGGAGGGGAGGACTAGGAAGAGAGGAGGGAGGAGGAGAGAGGGCTATGAGGGCATCATGGGTAGCTGAACTCTTTTCCTCTAACTCCAGGGAACTCAGTTTCCCTCCCTCTCAGATGCTAACACACAGAGTACTTACTGGAGGGGGAGGCGGGGACAGAAAGTCAGGGACCCAGCTTTGGCGCTGCCCTCTGTGTGACTCTAGACCAGAGTCTTAGCCCATGCTGACCTGAGTGCCCCTGTAAACCAGGCGATGCATACGAGCTTGTAGAAGTTCCTTGACTTGTGAGGTTATATCCAGACAAACTTACCTTTCCCTCCCCACACTTAAAAATAGTTTAATCCCAGCACTTGGGAGGCGGATCTCAGTGAGTTTGAGGCCAGAGTGATCTACAAAGCGAGTTCCAGGACAACCAGGACTGTTACACAAAGAAGCCCTGTCTTGAAAAAAAAAAAACAAAACAAAACCAAAATATAGCTGGGTGTTGGTGGGCACACGCCTTTAATTCCAGCACTCAAGAGGCAGAGGCAGGCAGATCTTTGTGAGTTCGAGGCCAACCTGGTCTACAGAGTGACTTCCAGGGGAAAAAAAGGAAAGAAAAGAAAAAGAAAAAAAAAGTATAATTAATTAAACCTTTAAAAAAGATGTATTTATTTTTATTTTTTGTCTTGCCTGAATGCACTGTGTTAATGACTGGTGCCCACGGGGACCAGAAGAGCATCGGCTCCCTGGAACTGGAGTTACCAGCAGTTATGAGTACCAAGAACCAAACCCAGGTCCTCTGCAAGAGCAGCTGGTGTCTTAACCTCTGAGCCATCTCTCTAGCTCCGTTCTAAAAAATTATGTGTATGTGCATGTATGTTTGTGGGCATGTGTACACGTTTGTAAGCACCCTCAGAGGTAGGTGTGAGTCATAGCATCTGGCTTTTAAGAGAGATTTATTTATTTTTGTTTATTTGTGTGTGTGTGTGAGAGATCATGTGTGTGCAGGTGCCTTTGTGGGCTATAGGAGGACACGGACTCCCAGGAGCTGGAGCTACAGGAGGGTGTGAATTAAGAAAGTGCTGGAAATCTGGACACTTTGAAACAACGGTGAACACTCTTAACCATGCCAAGCATCTCCCCGGTTCTAAGCATCTCCCTGTGTGAGCATCCCCCTGGTTCTGAGCATCTCTCTGTCTCTGAGCATCTCTCTGTCTCTGAGCATCTCTGTCTCTGAGCATCTCTCTGTCTCTGAGCATCTCTGTCTCTGAGCATCTCTCTGTCTCTGAGCATCTCTCTGTCTCTGAGCATCTCCCTGGTTCTGAGCATCTCTCTGTCTCTGAGCATCTCTCTGTCTCTGAGCATCTCTGTCTCTGAGCATCCATCTCTCTGTCTCCGAGCATCTCCGCAGCTCTGTAGCCAGCCTTCTCTGGGTTCTAGACATCAGGCCCTCAGGCTTTTGCAGCGAGCACCTTTGCTCACAGAGATGTTTCCCTGACCTTTCTGTTTCTTCCCACTTTGAAACAGCCTTTATTTGATTTGGGCTTTTCATATTAGCATACAAAGTAATGGGTTTCATTATGTCGTCGGTTCACACATAGGAAGCTCTTGTTGGTTCTTCTCTACATTCCTCTTTCTTCCCTATGCCCCTCCCCCTCCCCCTACACCCCTTCATCTTTCATGGAAATGATTCTGCTCTCCCTGCTTCCCTACGATCTCCCCTTCCACTCTCAATGACCTCCTTCTAGAAGTGTGTGACCTGCCCTGCCACCACCATGCACATACACATTAGATACAGCTCAGCATCTAGGATCCTCCGTTAGAGAAGTACGTGGTATGTGTATTTCTGGGTCTGGCTTCCTTCACTTAGTATAACGACCTTCAGCTCTGTCCACTGTCCTGACGATGTCCTGACTACATTCTTCTTCATGGCTGCGTGAAATTCCACTGTGCACAAGTAACACATTTTCTTTATCATTCACCTGAGGGACAGGGAGGCTGGCCCCATTCCCTGGCTACTGTTACTAGAGTAGCAATGACCACGGATGCTCAAGTGTCTCTGTGGTGTGCTGGCTTAGAGTCCTCAGGGTATGCTCCTGTTTTAGATTTCTTAATGTTTTTGTTTTCTGAGACAGGGTCTCACTGTGTATCCTTGGCTAGCCTGTAGCCCTCTGTGTAGACAGCTAGTCACAGCACCAGGTGGGCTCCGATGTCCAGTCACCTGGCGGAGGGTGAGGGGTGGGGGGCATCCTCCATCCTCCCCCATCTCACCGGCCCTCTGGGAAAGTGCCCCAAACACGGATCGCTTTACAGAGCAGGAAAGTAGCAAGCGGACTCCTCTTCAGGTGTGAGGGGGCCGCTGTAAAAGTCTTAGGAACTTGTCAGTCCAAGTGCAGGCAAACTAGGTTCTTAGGGCAAGCTGGTGGGGCAGGATTTCAACTCCGCAGGTTGGATTTATTCCTCACTGGAGGAGAGCATATACCAGCAGGGTCTGGGAACGTAAGGACTTAGGGGAAGCTCTGGGTTAGGCTAGGTAATTTGGGGGAAGGGTTACAGAAACTAACTGCGTTCCCAGAGAATAGCAGCGAAAGAGACGACCTGAGACATGCTGAACTTGGGGCCCGGAGCACAGTAGGCACCATTCAGACTCCCCTCCCCGCATGCCCTGCCGGGGGAGAGAGAGCAAGTGCAATCTGTCCAGCCCCTTGGCCCTTCTGATCCAACTCACAGCCACCTCTTCTGTTAAACGCAAGAAGCAAACACATGGTGCCAGGATTTGTTCACAGATTCATTCAATACAGTTTTTGTTTTTGTTTTTGTTTTAGGAGCCCTGGAGGTGGCTCTGTGGGCAATGTGCTTGTGTCTGGTGGCTTAAAAAGAAAACGGCCCCCAAAGGGTATTGGAGGCGTGGCCTTGTTGGAGGACGTATGTCTCTGTGGGGGTGTGCTTTGGGGGCTCATACATGCTCAAGCCACGCCCAGTGTGACAGACTCCTTCTGCTGCGCTGACGGATAAAGATGGAGAGCTCTTGGCTCCTTCTCCAGCACCACATCGGCCCGCACGCTGCCCTGTCCCGTCGTGATGATAATGGGCTGAACCTCTGAACTGGAAGCCACCCCAGCTGAATGCTTTTTCCTTCATAAGCGTTGCCGCGCTCATGGTGTCTCTTCGCAGCAATAGAACGCAGCCCTAACTAGGACACCATGTAAGCATGAGGACCTGAGAGCAAATCCCAGGCACGGACTGACATGAAGAAGCCCAGGATGGAGGCACGGACTGACATGAAGAAGCCCAGGATGGAGGCACACACCTATAATCCCAGCCCTGGGGACTGGAGGCGCTCTGGGACTTGCTGGCCAGCTAGCCTAGTCAAACTCTGGAGTTCCAGGTTCAGGGAGAGAGATCCTGTCTCAAAATAAAGACGTCTTTAGTAGTAAAGGCTCTAGCCGGCAAGACCTGGATCCTAGGACCCACACAGTGAGAGAAGAGAACACACTCAAAAATTGCCCTCTGACCTCTATGTGGTGTCAAGTGCATTTCTGCCATACACAGACAGACAGACAGACAGACAGACACACACACACACACACACACAAAGAAAATGTAAATTAAAAAAATTACAAGAAGGGCTGGGGAGATGGCTCAGCAGTTAAAAGCACTTCCTGCTCTTGGACCCAAGGTCAGTCCTTAGCACCATCTTTTTCTTTTTTCTTTTGTTTTTTTTTTTTTTTCAAGTCAGGGTTTCTCTGGATTGTTTTGGAGGCTGTCCTGGAACTCACTAGGTAGACCAGGCTGGTCTCGAACTCACAGAGATCCGCCTGCCTGTAACTTCAGTTTCAGGGGATCTGACCCACCTTCCCGCCTTCTTGGGCGTCTTCATGCTGTGGAACACATGCAGACAAAAGGGACATACACTCAAATTTTGAAAGTAATAAGGGAGAAACTAATTGAGGAAGACACGCACATTGACTTCTGGCCTTCACGGGTGTATACATAAACACGTGTGTGCACACACATGCACTTAAAAAAAAAACAAAATCCCAGCCGGGAGGTGGTGGTAAAAAGCCTTTAATCCCAGAACTCAGGAGGCAGAGGCGGGCGGATCTCTGTGAGTTCGAGACCAGCCTGGTCTACAGAGTGAGTTCCAGGACAGCCTCCAAAACAATCCAGAGAACCCATCTTTAAAAACCAAACCAACAAACAAAACAACAAGAACACATTCCAGAGGGGAAACAGATGGAAACCAAGCAAACAGCTACAATATTGGGCTCAGCTGTATGAAATTGCTGGCGTTTAACAACTGGGTCCATCCAGGTGTTGTGCGGCAGTCAAGCAGTGGACTAGCGTGACCAATGAGGCCCTGCCCAGCCTGCTAGGCTGCCGCGCCCCCTGGTGGGGAAACTCAGTAATAACTATTTGTCTGAGCCTCTCTGCCATCTCCGTCCCGAGACTCCTTGGCCACCTCCTCACAGGCCTCCTCACAGCCCTGGAAAGATGTGTTCCCAGGCAGGTCCGACTTACTGTCATTTTTAGCAGCTTTGTCTCCTGTGAGTGTCTGGACACTGTCCTCATCACTGTTGGTTCCCACACACCTTGCCTGTTCCCCGTCGCTGTTCAGTAAGCTCTTTTTTTCCATTTTCTTTTAAAAGATTTATTCATGGGTGCCAAGTGGGCAGTCTATCTGCTGAGCCACATCCCCGGCCCTCTGCGCCTTGTTTTCCCCTCCTAATCCCTGAAGTGTGGCGGTGGTCACAAAGTCCCACTGACCGGGACTGGAGTCCTCTCCTCTCTCTCCGTGCAGTCTCGGCAAAGCTGCTGTTCTGTGTGGTTGCTGGTCCCTTCAGGTATAACCTGCCATCAGCTTCGTGGAACAGCGAACACCGGGGTGACCTCCAGACTTCCCTGGCCCCAAATCAGGACGAGGAAATGGACAAAACTGTGTCGTGGTGATCGCGGTTACGGGGGACCCTGACCCTGTCATGTGGCACCCTCTCCCCTGCTGCCCCCAGCTTGGGCTTGGGAGCTAGAGACACCACAAGATTGAAGAGGAGGACGCCAGCCAGGTGGTGGTGGTGGTGGCGGCACATGCTTTTAATCCCAGGCGGGTGGGTCTCAGTGAGTTCCAGGCCAGCCTGGTCTGAGAAGTGAGTTCAGGACACTCAGGGAAGTTACACAGAGGAACCCTGTCTTGAATGAATGAATGAATGAATGAATGAATGAATGAGTGAATGAAAGAGGGGCCTTCAGATGTGCAGTCTTCGTGAGTCACCCCCATGCTGAGGCAGGCTTTGTGGTGATGTGCCTGTGTTGCCCACAATCCTGCAAGTAACCCCAATAAAATCTTTGCACTGCCAAGCTGGATGTGGGCTGGAGCCCTTCCTTTGGCTGGTCTGTGCCCTGCCCAGGGGGACAGACGTCTCTCTGTATTTCCCCAAGAAAAGTCACACGAAGCGCATTGGAAAAGCAGGGCTCAACAGGCGAAGGTGCCTGCGTCCAAGCCTGATGTCCTGAGTCTGGTGTCCTGGGACCCATGGGATCGAGGGACCAGTTGTCCTCTGACCCACACACTGGAGTGCACACAGCCCTGCGCATAAACAAGTAAATACAATGTAATTCTTTGGGGGGAGGCGTTTGAGACAGGGTTTCTCTGTATTGTTTTGGAGGCTGTCCTGGAACTCACTCTGTAGACCAGGCTGGTTTGACTCACAGAGATCCGCCTGCCTCTGCCTCCCGAGTGCTGGGATTAAAGGGGTGCGCCACCAACGCCCGGCGATACAATGTAATTTAAAAAAATACATAGGGGCTAGAGAGATGGCTGAGACATCAAGGGTGCGAAGGATTCTTCCTGAGGACCCAGCACCCATTTGGCTCACAAATGGCTGTAACTCCAGCTCAGGAGGTCATATGCCTCCTTAGTTACATGAACAGACCCACACACACACACACACACACATACATGCCATTTTAAATTCTTTAAAAAGCCACCTTAGCTGGGCGGCGGTGGTGCATAAAGAGTTCCAGGAGCACTCAAGAGGCAGAAACGGGTGGATCTCTGTGAGCTCGAGGTCTGCCTGGTCTACAAGAGCAAGTTCCAGGACAGGCTCCAAAGTCACAGAGAAACCCTGTGCTAAAAAAACAAAAACAGAAACAATCCACCTTAAAGCAGTATCCTCTGTTTCTGCTCTGAACCCCAGGGCCCCACCGAACCCCCAGGACCTAGGCACTCTTTGGGCGTGCTCCTGTAGGTCAGGGTCAAGGAGCAGGTCACAGCTGTGTGACCCTGAGCCGATAAGTGTACGTCTTTGGACTTTGTCACCTGTTAGTCAGGACAGCACCATGCACCTGGCCAAGGAAGGAGGGGATAGAGATGACTGACACAGGACAAGCAGGGTTTCAGGCCTCACTCAAGTACTCCTTCCGTCCCTGCAAGACCTGACACAGCCACAATCAACAGGCCTTGCCTGGCCTCACTGTCCCCAAGCCTTGCTGCGGCAATCCTTAACGTGCTGTTTATCCCTCTGGGCTAGAGCATCGAGTTCGGGAGGGTCAGGTCTTTTTGTCTGTCTGATGCCAATTCTGAGAAAGCTAGTAGCACCCATGGGCGGTGGGGGAGGGGCTGGCAGGTGTGGGCGGGGCTTCATCGCAGGCGCCCTGGGCACCACTGTGTAGCTGTCATTTTGCAGCTGATGTGTAGCCAGCTTACCTTCCTGCCTGAGGCTGTGGCAGCTCACATGACCTGTCAGCTGTGCCCATGGGGTCATGACCCTGCCCAGTCTCCCATGTGCCCGGCCAGTAACCTCAGGGACAACATGCATCTCCAGGATGGAAGTCACTGGTTCTGGCTGCTCCACTGCCTCTAGGTAAATATCTGTGTCTCCAATCAGGGTTAAAGGGACCAAGCAGACCTGGCCTGGCAGCTGTGACCCTGATTGCAGCTCTAGAGTCATGCACTTGGCTGTGTGGCTTTAGGTCAGTCAGACAGCCTCTCTGGCTACATCAGCTTTTGAATATGTGTATGTGTGTGTGTGTATGTGTGTGTGTATGTATACATATATGCTTAACAAACGTAAACAGAGCAATATTAACATATATCAATTAATTGCCAAAATTGTCCCAGGAAGCTTCTCTCGGCCGTGGACAGCAGTGGACGCAGAGACTCATAACTGGTCAAAGAGCCACGAGTGACTGTTAAGTGCCCAGCCCTAACCTGGGCATCTACACCAATCACCCCGCCTCCCTAGACTCGGGGAGCATGCAGAATGTAAGAGCTGAGGCTGGGGGCGTGCCAGGAGCGCTGTCCTCTGGACAGGCCATGACGGTTGCACTCAGGAACACAGTAGCTATGGTTCCCTGCCCACTATCAACCCAGAGAGACGGGCCAGCATTCCGGCATGCAGCGCTGACTGGATTCAACAGGTTACCAAAAAAAAAAAAAAAAGGAGAGGGCGTGTAGGCGAAGGGGGACATGTTGGGAGGGGAGGGGAGGAGCGGGGAGGGGCCTGGGAGGATACAATCAAGATACATTTTATGGACACACACTCAGGCATGCCCACACACATGCATACATGTATAGGAAACTTCAATGAGTAAAGGAAAGGTCTTGTAGTTAAAAAACATTCCAGAGGTTGGAGAGATGAGTCATTAGTTAGGAACACCGGCTGCTCTTCCGGAGGACCCAAGGTTGGGTTCCAGCACCCACACGCGGTGGTTCACAGGTGCCTGTAGTCGGTCGGATACCTCTGGCCTCTTCTGACACCTGTGTATATCCTGCCCCAGAATAACCCAGATAGCTAGAAACAAAATAAATATTTTACAGATTTCAACATTAAATTTATGTGCGTATGTGTGTGAGGAAGGGGATGGGGTGCCCACAGAGGAGGCTGCTGGATCCCCCAGAGTTGGAGTTACAGGCAGTTGTGGGCCCCTAATATGCTGAGAATTGAACTCAGAAGCCCCGGGGTGGCGGCACACGCCTTTAATCCCACCATTCCGAGGCAGAAGCAGGAAAATCTCTGAGTTTGGGGCCAGTCTGGTCTACAGAGTGAGTTCCAGGACAGGCAGGGATACATGGAGAAACCCTATCTGGGAAAAATAAAAAACAAGAAGGAATTGAACTTGAGTCCTTTGGAAGAGCCCGTAACCACAGGACAGGGTTCAGTCCCATCCTCCTTGTCTGAGTCCCTCCCAGGGACCCCCTTTTATCCTGGGGAGACAGCCAGTGCTGGCTGGGAGACAGCTCTGGGCTAGAGGAGCGTGGAGGCAGAGTGTGTTGTCGGTGGCTGTGGTGAAAACCACCCCACCTCGACACCTCCACCAGACCAAGCCACAGCCCCAGATGTAAGACAGCAATGAGGACCGGCGAGAAGGCTCAGCAGATAACGGCATCTCCACTAAGCTTGGCGACCTGAGTTCATTCTCCAGGACCCACTACTAAATATATGTCTTTTTAGAGAAGCACTTTAGAAGAGACACAAAGGACATCTCACAGCCAGGCGAGGTGGCACATGCCTACAGTCTTAG